TATTGATTATTTTGATTGAATTATTTAAAACATCGATCAAAGTAGTCTAGCCGAAAGTCGTCTTCAAATAAGGCAAAAAGCCAATGAATACAAAGGCAAAAACACAATGAATAACTGCTATTTATGCCACGATCGACTAGATTGTTTAAATAGCTTACTAGGCAAACTGCGGGCACGTAATCTTGTTTGAGGCTAGCCACGAGTCAAGCTCAGGTATCTCTTACAGTTGTATGAAAAGAAGGGATTGGCTAAGTCCACCCCCTTTGCTCCTAGCTATCCAGACTATCCAGCGAGAACACAACTTTGTGCTTCACTAATTTAATTAAATTGAATATTTCAGTGCATCAGAATGATTCCAATATTCCTGGTATTGCTGTTACCATGGCAAGCTTTATCAGACAGTTGTCATTCAGTATACACACTTCCCGGATTCAAGATCCATGGCCACCTGCTTAAAGCCATTTTGCTCCAGAGCAAAAGTGGATGCGAGAAAATGTGTGCTTCACAAGAAGGGTGCAACAGCATCAGCTTTCATCAGAACACAAGAAAGTGTGAATTGCATGACGGTAACCACATCTCACATCCCGAAAGCGTTCTTCCAAGTGAGGGATATATTTACGTAAACTTTCCAAAAAGGCCTCCAAAGAGATGCAGTCGTAAGTTATGCAGCAGACCGTTAGCATGTGTGCCTGAAGGCGATAGCTACAATTGTGTAAGCTGCGAAGGTAAGTTCTTATCAATGCAATGCACTGTTTGAAATATCTAAACAATAGAGAAATTCATTCAGGGTCATTATGCGCGATAGTTATACGCGGCATCTGGCACTGGAAAAATCGCGCGCTATTTAAAGGTTGTAAATTTGATGTAAATATGATGTAAGTATCCAAAATTCTGTAAATTTGATGTAAATGATTTCTAGTAAATATAATGGAAATCATTTACATCAAATTTACTGAATTTTGGACACTTACATCATATTTACATCAAATTTACAACCTTTGATGCGCGTGATTTTTTCCAGTGTGTGTGGCTGATCCTAATCAATACAAAAAATCGACACTAAGAAGTTTTCATWGAGAGAAATAGGGACGAAGAGATCAGATAACAGGCATCCCATGCTAATGTTTGATAGTAGTCGATTCTAATGGCTTCGTAACTGCTTACAATGTGCTGAGTTCTGGAAACAATGTCAAAATAACTGGAAATAAGGTAGAATACAAATAGGAGTACTTGCTCTGGTATCCGGTTACTGCACGTGGTACAAATTACAATCAGGGATTGTCTGGATACCTTATGAATAATTAATGAGTATGAGCAAGATATTTATAAATATCTACTATTACTGAGCTCAAACTTTACAATTCAAAGAAAACAAGACGCTTGTCAGCGTGCACTCGGGGTTCTTTTTAGTGTGGTCTCTTGGTTTAATGATACATATAGAATATTGGCAACGTCTTTTATTTTGATTATAGCTAGAATTATAATATTTTGTGGTCGCGGCACATTTTGTTGTGAAAAATTTCTTTCCCAGGAAAACAAATTCGTACAAGAACAGTTATTTAGAAAAACAGACCACCGTCCGCTCCTTCTGTAGTTTCATTTTATTCTTGCCGTGACCAAAAATATAATAAATTCTCAGTCTAGTTGATAGCATAATAATTATATAATTTTGACTTTTTTCATGAATTTACCACAATTATTTAACTCTTGCAAAGAATAATAAAAACTATAATTATCAAATATAAAGTAAAACTAAAAATAATTTGTTTTATTGAAAATAGTAGAAAAAAGCAATGTATTCAATATTAATGGCGTTCACGGCAAACTGCAAACGGCAGAAAAGATCACGTGACCCGCTCTTTGGGAGTTAACCCTTACAGTTTCAACGCGAGAGAGGGTTATTTTGAGTTTGTCATAATCGTGATAAGTCGCTCTTTCCAATGACTACCTAAAGCACAAGGTCAGGCACGAAATTCTTAGGTCATTGGTTCAGCTCTGCCGTTAGCCGTTTGCCGTAAACGCGATGCTTAAACTCTCTATTGACCAAGTGGTCTAATAACGCAAACACCAGAACACCATTCGCGCCTGAGCTTTTGTTTGTAAATTTTGTAATCCTTTGCTATTACACMTGTAGAGTTTTGTTGACAATCGGCACTTCAGTCTATTGTTCTTTTATAGTTGTTATATAGCTTTGAATATCAGTAGCTTTTAAGACAGAAGGCTTGTAGTTCATGATTGCCTTTGGATAGATTAATGGCTTGTGTATGATAACACAATAAGCTTGMGAAATTCGCGGTTTCAAAAAGACCATTCCAAAAAAGCTTTGTTTGTGGATTTATAAGTGATTTGAGCGTATTTTTTGAAAGGTCGATCGACGAAGAAAGCTAATTAGTGATGCAATAAGCACGTTGGCACATGGCCAGTAGGATTCCCATGACGCGTGGGACGAGASAAGWYGSGCTAGGAACGCCTAGCTAGTCTGGCCGCGATTTGGCGATGAATCAACCTCGTCCCCAGGGCCATCTCGGCCGACTCCTTTTCAAGATGGCGGTYGTCGGGGAGATGACCCTGGCGTTGGCTGAACTAAGCCACTTTCTGATTGGCTATTCAAAATGCCTTTTCTTATATTACTCATTATTGGCTGTTTATGTTCGTCTATAGGTCGGGATGTGTTCGACACTGTCGGTATGTCCGGATAACCGTTAGGTCTTTGATCGGTTATTGATTTAACCGTTACGATGCGTTCATTGTTTTTATTCAAATATTCCCGAAATTTAATTAAGGTACGTTTTGTCGATTAAAAAGCAACGATATTCTTTGGAATTCTTGTCAGTTGTCCTCTTATGTCTCTCTTGTCCAATGCGTGGTTTTGAGATGCCAACTACTCGTGTAAGAAATTTAACTTGACGGATATATTTAGCGATAGCATTCGATGTTATAGAAGTCTTCTACTCGCCGATTTCTGCAGTGAGCGGATCCCTCAAGAATTCTAGAATGAACTGGATCTACTCCCGTAGGCGGTCTAGGGGTCAACACTGCCGATGACGGCAGGACGGAAGGACATTTTTCAAATAAATCATCAAAACAAAGCAAATACCGACCCACCACAGCTATCCCAGTTTGTGAAACCGTTGAGTTCACGTTTCGAGCGCCATTTTGAATAGATAAGCCACGTGATCAAAACCTCCAAAAATCTTGGAGGTTTTGATCACGTGATTCCAGCCAACGCCAGGGTCATCTCCCCGACGACCGCCATCTTGAAAAGGAGTCGGCCGAGATGGCCCTGGGGACGAGGTTG